TATTCCAAAACTTCAAAATCTACATGTCATGCTCTCCAATGATCCAAATCCCGATCACATTGGGAGGAAATTATTATCCACAATCTAAGTGTCAAATTTTGTAAGATTTCATGTGGTTCTAAGGACTTTCCAATTTAGGTGTAAAATTCCATACGAATTTTCACTCCATTTTTTGATGTCCACATTTTCCCTCTATTTTCCAATCCATAATGAATGGAAGTTGTAAGGGAGTTGATGGTGGTTTTAGGGAGTTACATAATTGAACTTCAAATTCAAACCGTTCCCTCCAACCCTTTTAATAACTTGTGGGTTGGGTCATCCCACATGGGCGACCCATAATCCGTATTTTCTAACACCTTTCTTCTTTTTCCTTCTTTTCTCTCGATTCTTCTCTATCTTCTGGTTTCTGATTCTGTGTGTATGTGTGGAAAAAGGATGAAAAATGGGTTTCCAATTGCTATGTTAATAGGTCACTAACCTTTAATTACAAAGGAAGCCCTCCAACCTTCTCATAAGACCCTATTAAATTCTTACATTTTAATACTTGAAAAGTGAACTCCCAACTTAAAATTGTATCCATTTAAAACCCTCACGTATTATCCATTGCAAAATAAATCCCAAGAAAATAATTTGCTTCATTTAAGTCCCATTTTGACTTTGACTTTGATAATTTCACTTTTGACTTTGAAATAAAATCTTGACTTTTAACTTGTAGGAAATGAGGTGTAACAATTAGACTTATTTTAAAACCATATCACCACTGTTTGTTTCCATATGGGCTTATATTCCATCATAGATTTCTTTCCTAAATGCCCAGGATCAGGATTCTTGTATGACTTGTCAAGGTATGTCTGAGTATTAATGGTGTCTGATCTGACATGCATGTCCGTCCATTTCTACTTTGATTCTGGGAAAAAGAAAAGTGGATTCAAATTGATTTGGTGACTATGTTTATGTTCCTTTAGGTCACTGTTTAAGCTCAAACATTTAAATGCTTCTTATAATAAGTATCTCTTTAATGTGGTAAATCTACGTTTACAGATAATGAACCCAGTAGTATGAGTCTAATAAATACTTCCAAGGAGTAAGAACTAGCCTGCCTTTGACAAGTCAACCAGACTGGCCGGGTCGAATGCTGTTTCCGGGTTAATTCTATCTCAAGACTTTATTAGTCTACAAATGTGACAAATACATAATCTAAATCAGTCATAAGAAAAACTGTAGAAGTTCAACATGTACACTATATTAGATAATGACATAAAAAGGGAAAATAGAATTCCGCGTTCATAGGAATTGATCCTAAATTATCAGTCAAATAGATGCTTCTAAGGATTAAGAAGTAGCAACTGACAATTCAACAAACTGCTGTTAATTTCTTGGTTAATTCATTTTCAAGACTTTCTAAGTCTACTGAAGTGACAACTGAAGTTGTTTGTGTTAAGAAATATATTATTATTTTATTTTTGTTATTTATTAAGGGTAGAATAGTCTTTTAAATTTCTTTTATTTTAGACTATATATAGTCTCTTTGTATCTAGGTTTTATTCATTCAATTACATTATGCAGAATCAATAAAACCCTAGCCTCTTTTTCTCCTTTGGATTGTTTAACATGGTATTAGAGCTAAGTTTCATGGGAT